AAAAAAACAAATATAAATTATAAATTCGAAAGTTAAAAAAATAAAAAATGTAATAGTGTCTAATTCTCCCTTTTATAGTTTTTATATCACAATTTAATATTGTTTAAGCATGAAATATTATTTCAAAAGTTTACTATATGTTTAAGATTCTTTCGAAAAGGTGCAACATATGTTTTGCAAAGTAGAGAAAAATTAATTTTTTGCATTCTTTGCACTATAAAATTACATATTTTGAAATAATATTTTATACTTAAAATATTAATTTGTGATATAAAAACAATAAAGGGAGAAATGGACACAATTACATTTTTAAAATTTTTATTTTTTAATTTCGATTTATTAATTTTTTTTGGTCTTTTTTTGAAATTTATTTGATTAATTTAAAGTCAATAAGGATTAAATTGCACCTTTATATAAAATGAGGGATATTTTTGCACCTTTTTAAAAGTTCAGGGGTATATTTGTTCCGAAAAATAGAACAGGGGTATATTTGTTCCTCCACCTATACTACAGGGGTATATATGTACCTTTTCCCTTTTTTAATCAATTAGCAAGAGAATTGATTCTCACGCCTTACTAAAAGTTCGAGTTCATGTAGTGGTTTTTGCATGTGTGCATTTATAACACTGAATTTGTAGCATATATACCTAATCTATCTAACAACTATATAATTGTGAACGAGGGTTGATGTCTTTGATTTATGTCAAAACATTGTGTGCATAAGATCTTGTACATTGCTATGAAAAAGTGGAACCCTATTTTACTATTTGACTTCTTTACCCTTATACATCGTCTACTTTTAACATCCGTTTAGTTCAATCTTGAATTACATTTAACATCCGTTAATATTATCTTGAATTTATACTTGCATATCTCCTTCATCACTTAATCTTAATAAGATGATGATGTACTGATGTGAATTGGGTTGCCTCAGTAATGCTGTCGTCTTTATTCCCGTCGTTTACTGGGATTAGATTTCCAGTGGAGTTAGGTTCAGTTCAAAATTTGACTTCAGTGGATTTTCAATTGCCAAGCTTAATTACTTGGACCGATGAGGAAGAAACTCCGGAAATCACCCCTATTCAGAGGTTTGCAGCAATATCTCTAGTTTATTGTTTATTTTTTGCACATATTGATTCATTTGATATTGATTTATTTTTTAATAATTAAAATTTATATATTTATAAACTACATTAAAATCTCTTTAAAGTCGTAAAATCCAAATTAGAATATTGATAGAGTATATAGACTCGGACCCCCGGGTCTAACGGTTATTGGGCTTGGACAGCGGCCCACACACACTTAGCGGACTTCATTTGCGTTATTGTACAATTCATATATCATTTGTATTTACTAGATTATATTAGTCTTTTATGTATTTGGGCCCATCAGGCCCATATTAGCGGCCCGACCTATTATTTCTCTATTTATACTCCTTTTGGAGCCTCTTGTAACCCTTGAACATAATTTAATACAATACACTCTCTACTATTCATCTTCTTCCTCACCTCTCCATAGCTCAAATCTCTCCTAATTATGTATGCTTGGATACCTATAATCCATCAAATATAATTAAAACTTGACAACCTAATCAAGCGAACAAAACAAAACTGTTTGACTAAGAAGAGTCAAATTTGCAACTCAATTTGGGACGGGGTAGTAAAAAATAAGAATTTTACTCCGTATTTTATAAAACAAAAGAGAATCCAAAAGTTGGAGAATTGTCGCCTCAGTAATGTTGTCGTCTTTATTCCCGTCGTTTACTGGGATTAGATTTCCAGTGGAGTTAGGTTCAGTTCAAAATTTGACTTCTGTGGATTTTCAATTGCCAAGCTTAATTACTTGGACCGATGAGGAAGAAACTCTGGAAATCACCCCTATTCAGAGGTTTGCAGCAATATCTCTAGGTTATTGTTTATTTTTTGCACATATTATAGCTTGCGGATCATTATTTTTTTAAACTTCACCCGATAATTAATCTCAGAATTGTATTGTGTGTGCAGGGACGGCCCTGGTAGTTGCAACTTGCAAGGCCTAGGGCCAAATAATTTATAATGGGTCTAATTTAAAAAAAAAATTATCTAATCTAATGCATAACAATAATACTTCAAAAATGTATAATAAATAAAAGGCTTTTATAATTCGCCGTATTAAACAAGATCACAGTTAGAGAATATTTTTATTACACTTTGAAATTTATTATATTTATAAATTTAATGAAAAATCAGTTTTTTAATGAAGAAATTTTAAAAATATTACAAGATGATTTAATTTTATTATGAGTCAACCTTAAAATTCACAAATTGGAACTCAAATCAGGATGAAGGAAGTATAAATCTGAATTTGCGATTTCACGATCAATAAGTCAAAAATTAGATGACTAATCAACGAAAATGTAAATTCTATGAAAATTAAGAGGGTGAAAAACTATGATAACTGATCATGAAATAAGTAAGAGCATAGATGCAAAACATACAAGGAGATAAGAGTAAAAAAATAGAGGACTCGAGGTCATTACAAGTTAGAATCCTATGTTCGGATTAGGAAGGATAAAATGTTCAAGAAGTTAATGTATCCACTATCCACTATCTATGATCCACTGAGTATTGACTGATGAAAGTTTATAATAAGAAATTTTAATATTGAGGTTTGAACTTTGAAGAAGTGAGAGCCTAAATTAAATGACAGTTCAGTGATAGGCACCAACCCAGCACACAGTCATGTCTTTAAAAAAACATTATGTCTTCAGAACTCTTTTCCCTATGTCGCATTAAATTAGTGGAATTAGTCTAAAAACTCAGCCTACTCACTCTTAATACAAAGCTTTAAAAGTGGGCCTAAATTTTTTACACTTTTTTGGGGCCTAGGGTGCCTGCCCCCGCTGCACCCCCTAGGGCCACCTCTGCGTCTGTGTATAATAGAATGGGTTAGAGAAGATATTGTGTCCTGAATACTATGAATTGTTGACATTACTGAGACAATACCAATAGGAGATCATTATACTCATCTTTCTTAATATCAGCCTTTAGATTGTTCACTAAGTTGAAATTTACTTGAGATCGTTTAGGGAAGCACCCCTTTCAATTCACTATAATATCAATTATCAAATAAGTTCCAAAATAAAATTAATCAAATTTATTACCTACATTTAACTACATTCAGTTCCTTCCGAAGGGAGCATTATTGTTGAGATTATTTTAGAGTAAGTCATATTTTTAACCATTATTAGATTATCAGAAGGTCAACAGTAGTTGAGGTTAGTCATATGAATTTATCTTGTAATGTTTGGGTTGTCCTTAATCTCGTAAGAGGAAATGTGTTTTTACTTGTCTAGGTTTGAAGGGTGAGAATCATACTCTAGCTTTTATATGCCGTTTGAATAACTGAACTTACTTAAAACCAAAATGGTGACAAATCGTCTACTAGCATGAGACCAGTTTAATTGTTAACTCATTTCTCACTGGCTTAGTATAGAGATTAAAAACAGCATATAGGCTGAATGAATTCTTTATTTAGCAAAAGCAAAAATTTTGTTCAAAATGGCACATGTTTTACTCATATTGCAATCATTTTCTTCCAAAGAAAACAAAGAGAAAAGTTCTATAAAAGTAGTTATCTCCCTGTTGCTTCAGGTAGGAGACGGAGGATGGAAGCATCCGTTTCAGGAAATGAAGGTTTGCGAAATTAGGCAAGGGGTGCGGTTTGGACATACATGGCGAGAAGGTAATGTACCTCATTCGCCCAATTTCAGACTTTTAATCATTTTAATGAGCTTCCTTCCTAGGCCCGACTTGCGTATTATAGAGACTTATTTGGGTTTTCTTCATTTAGATGCTTTTATTAATGATTTATTTTATTAATTGTAATTTCTTTAGAAGGTATGTCTCATGGGAGAGGTTTTGGTCTTGTCCCCTCTCCTTTGTATCTTTTCTTTATTTTTAATAATAATAGTATACTAATAAAAAAAAGTTCTATAAAAGTAGTTTAATTGTATAGAGCATGTTTGATAACACTGCACTTGGTTGAATTAGCTAACTCTTCTGTAACTAATGAGATTCTGGTTGAAGCGGTTGTTAGTTAAATCTGCTGAATTGTGGAAGAATTATGTTTAAAATATTTTTTATAAATAAAATAAAATAAGAAATAATTACATTTTCATGACTAAAATAATGATTGTTTACAAAAATGTTACTAGTGACTTGAATAATAATGAAATTCTAGTAACTTATGTTCATTTTTTTAAGATCATGACATTACATTGTGGTAACTATTAGTCATATTTATGTAAATATGCTTTATTGTAGTAATATTTTTTGAAAAAAAAAACCCCATAAAATAAAGAAAAAAATATAAATTAGCTAAAATGATCATCCACAAATTTTGCTATATTTAGCTAAATTAGCTAAATTAGCTAAATTTAGCTAAAAATTGAGAAGAAATAATTTCAACCTCATTTATTTTGATTTTTACACAATTCAACGTGCGAAATGAAAATTGGTTAATAAAGCCGATGAGCTAAAAATTGGGGTTACCAAAGTAAATGGGCTTATAATGTTATCTGTTATAGGCACTTCTATATTTGTTTATGACTAAAATTAAACTATTTCCATTTTAGCACATGCATAGATTGGTCCAATAAAGCGAGAGTTATCAAATGCACGGTGATGTGGAAAATAGTTAAAATTTTAACTATTTGCATTTTAACACAAATGCGCCACATGCATCGTTCGGCTTTGCTCACCACGCAAAGGTGCTAACCCAATTGTCAATTTACTTCACGCACTCATTTTTTAGAGAAAAATCAAGTCGCTAAGAGATATATGTGGAAAAAAGATAAAAAAAAAATTTGTCAAACATGAAATGTATGGAAATTTATTTATATGCTTTGAAATTTGCATTCAATGAATACCTAATCACCATATCTAGTGCATGGGTAATCGTAAAGGATTTTAAGTATAAAAGTAGTTCTTCCAAACCATAATCTAATCCATATTAAACATTTAAAAGAAGAATCCAACTCGTAAAACATTATCATCATGGCCTTTGCCCGATGCATAATTTTTTTTATGTCCTTTCTCTTTAACTTTTGCTCTTCTCATAATGCCAATGCAACTCTGAATGGTTTTTCACCTGCCATTGCTACATGGTATGGTCCACCAGATGGACATGGAACAGGTAATCACAAGTCATTCATACATTTTTTTTAAATTACGTCTCGTTGAAACATTAGACCCGCCTAGACTCATGCTTTATTGAATGTGCATTTTATCGAACATATCTTGGTATGAATTTGTGTGTGTGTGTGGTTTGCAATTTCCAAGGTTGACTGTTGATAAGTTAAAACTTCCATGCTAATATTCATATTAGTATTGATAAATAAAATTTTTAATTAGAAACGAGGTTAAGAGTTATATTAAACCAAATTCGCAAACAATAAAAGTTTGGTACTAACAATTATAGAATGAACACAATATGTGTATTATTGACAAAGAAAAAATACAAATCATTTCATTTATCATGATAGATATGGATGAAGTACAATATATACATGATGCAAATATTTTATGTGTGTGTGTGCGCGTGTGTGTAATCCGGTTCCATTAAAAACGCTTCTTCCCATGAGAAATGAAATGTGAACGTCTCCACTTTCAATCATCTGAAGTGCACTATTGCACCTACATGATTTTCATCATCTACTGTGGCTCATCCACGATACACTTTTGGACACAGGAAGTCCACTTTTTGCAAAGAAGAAAAACTTTGATTTATTTACAAAAATGTCACCTAGATGATTTTCATCATCCATTTTAATGCATTTTTAACATATTTAGAGCCATTAGATCTTAGATTCGATGCACCAGATTTCTTCATACTTTTCATGAGAAGAAGACTTTTTATTTGATCCTATATATATTTATATATATATATATTATATATATATATATATATATATATATATATATATATATATATATATATATAAAAGTAGACATGAGATCAAATTGAAACACCTTCTAATTTACGAAGTATAAATTCATCTTTGTCATCCGTTGAATTGATATAAAGGCTGGAATCTCACGGTGTCATTTTGGTAATAAAATCAAACTTTTTCCAGATGCAACTCTTTGAACGATAATATGTAAGTCTTATTTCATTGCACACTAATATGCAATACAAATAGAGTTTTGATGCACTAGACAAACGTTTGCACAATAAACACAATTTGTACCAGGTCTGCCTCCTATATAAGTGTGTGTGTGTGTGTTATCCAAGTGTCCCAATTGTTACTGTTACATTATACACTGTCTGCACTTTTATAGATACTGGAGCTTGTGGATATGGAAATGTGAGCCTGCCACCCTATAATTCTATGGTTTCTGCGGGAAACCAAGCTCTATATAAGAGTGGCAAAGGTTGTGGAGAATGTTATAAGGTATAGCGTGTACTTTGTACATACATCTTAGATATAATAACAATAAATTAACGATGAATAAATATTTAAAGTAATAGACATGATATAATATTTACACCATTATATTTACGTCGTATATACACATGAATCAAGAAATAGATTGTCATGGATAGCCATTATATATCAATGTGATATATATTTATATTGCAGGTAAAGTGCACTGAAAATCCAATATGCTCAAGAAAATCCATCAAAGTTTACATAACAGATGAATGTCCCGGTGCATGCAACAATGAACCGGTTTGGTTTGACATGGGTGGACGAGCTTTTGGTTACATGGGAAAACCAGGTCAAGCTGATGCCATGCGCAACCTTGGAAGGGTTAAAATATGGTATAAAAGGTATATTTTTCTTTTTATGAAGTATTATAATTTCTACTTTTGTATCATTTTCTTAACATTATTCATTATTAATAGTCACATACTGATCATTCGATTTGATTTTTCAGTGTTTCATGCTAGTAAAGAAGGGGTAGAGGGAGTTAATCCATTGGACTGCATATTATTGATTATTACACATATTCATAGCATGGCTGATTCAAATGTCATTACTTTCTATTTCAATAAAATTTTATTGTTTCGTACTCTACCAATCATGAAGAAACAAAAGGAAGAAAGTTATCCGTGTAACACCCCGATTCAGTGAGCTGATTATTGTAATATAATCAATCATTATTATTTATTGGGATTCCCTTATTTATTTTAGTCGATTAGATATGTTAATTCTATGAATAATGTGATATATTCTTTTACCATGATTTCTTTGTGGCAGATAACATTGACCGGTAAGCTCCTAGGATTTCGAATAAATAAGTAATTAGTGCTCCAAAGTTTAATCAATTTATTTTAAAAGGGAGCATACCTTTAGTGGTATTAATTAAAGACATATATAAAAAAAAAGGACTAATTAAAAGCCCGATTATGTTAACTTGGCCCAAATTAAGCATGTTAAGGAGTATAATCCCTAGAGAGAGTTAATCTATACGGAGTATATATTATCACTATTAAGACCTCAAGGCTTGAACTCTCTATTCTACCAGTAGCCGTGATTCTATTCTCTATGTGCCGCTTTTCCTTTGTCCCGGTGCCAAAGTTAGGCTAGGGTCCTGATCTTGTTTGTATATCAAGCTGCTTGCTTCAGGTAACAGTCAAAGAATCTCACTTTTCTTTTCACTCGTAGAGAAAGATATTAAAACAAGAAACAACCCGTTGCTCTGCCAATAGCGATCGACTCAGTCTCTTTTAGATCAAGCGTAACCTTACGTTTTGAAACATAAGTCCCAATCAGTTTTGAATATCTATTTTGATTAACTATTTCGAATTGTCTAAGTTTCATATGTAAAAATTTCAGTTCAAATTTAATAACATCAGTGTTTCTTTTTAACCCTGGGCAAATCTTATTACTATATTTTCGTGGATCAATTGCTTATAGATTTACCATGGTTTAAGATTACAATGGTAAAAGACCTTTGTGTTTTTATAGTTTGAGGTGATAAAGTTGTTGAGTTTTGTTAAAACTAAAAAAAAAAAACAGCTAAGGTTAGATGCCTCTTTTGAGAATGACATTAAAGTTGGTTTTTACACCCTTTTCTTCTTTCACTAGAGAGCTACGGCACATGTATATGTGTGTATATTAGATTGTTTTAATTTTATCATGGGAGATCCTGAGTGTTACAGAGTATGTCATAAATAGTAAGTTAAACGAAAATTTGTTAAAACAGTTGGTTTAAAGTTCAGGTAGTTAATTTCTCTAATACTCCGTAATAGATTAGAAGTAGTCTTAATAAGTCTCTACTAATTTTGACGCCCAGATACTTGGAAGGAATACTTTTCATTTGTTTAAAATGGAAACTCCCAGTGGATCAATATAAGTTGGTTCAAAATTCCTTAAAATACAACAAGTTCAAATTATACCTTTATATTTAATTAAAGAGTTTTAACAAGAGCTTATCGGGAGACGTTATCAAGGTGCCACACTTATCTGAGTATTTGAGTTTATCTGCTACCAGGTAAGTTCACTACCACCTATACATGTTTGTTCAACCAAATAAAAGAAAGAGGGCTGGTTGATTTTTAATAGATGATTTTAGTCTATATGCTATTATGTGAACTTAGTGAATTATTTGTAGAGTTATTTTATTTGCTTTATTAAGTTATGTTTATTATCTGGCATAGTCAAGATTTTGTCAGTACTTTTATTTTCAGATTTAATGATGTTTTAATTCAAACGTCACCATAAAAAGAACTAATACTTAAAGTAAAAGATAAAGTGATATGTACTCGGGAACAAGTTCCCTCAGGTTAGCAGTTTTCAGTTTCAGATAGTCCGATATGTTTAGTGGGTCGCTCCCCTGAGCTGTCGGATTGGCGCCTTTGAGTACATATCACGGGCCCACAGAGTAAAATTAGCCACAAAGAGTTTTACAGAAAGTTTAATGCGATCTCTTTCAGAAAGTTTAATGAGATCTCTTTCAGAAAGTTTTACAGAAAGTTATTTTTGAGATCTCTTTTAGAAAGTTTTCAGAGATGTTTTGAGAAAGAAATTTTGAGATCTCTTCAGCAGTTTTGAGAAATCATTTCAGAGAATATTTTCCTTTTGAGATCTCCCTCAGAATGTATTTGAGAAGTTATGTGTTAGTTATTTGTTCAGTGCATGCTTATAGCCTAAATTTATCTATTGATAAATTGGCCTAGACTTCTAGATATTTTTGGGGAGCCATAGTGACTTACTAAGCGTAAAGCTTATCAGTTTTCTTTCTCGCATGTACAGATACTAAAGCTAAGGGTAAAGCCCAGGCCGAGGAAGATGACGAGAGAGTGGAACGCGTGCCAAGATGAGTTAACAGGAACGACCTTGGCGGCTTCTAGCTAGATATTATTTTGTTTTTAGTATTTCAGTGTTATAATAAAGTGATAAATATTACTTTATTTTTATTTAAGGATTTGAAGTTCAGTAAATTCCTGGATCCAGGTGGTTATCACATTTGCTAGTGATAACTAGATTTTACTGAGTTTTTAATTGGATTTATATTTTAGTTATGTTTGAGTTTTTATCAGGGTTATTTCTTAAACAAACAGCCGTTATATTACAGTTTATTTTTAAAAGTAGTGTGCTAGTGTAACGTTCTCTTTAACCCTGAAAGGGGCGTTACAATCCGGCTTTAATCGCCAAATTAGTTTATTGAGTTCATGGTTCTTTATTTTGTTCCTTGAAGTTTTGTATTCCTGTCCATTTTTCTAATACTATAAATCCACATAAATAGATACTCTCTTTCCATTTTTTTCCTGTCTAAATTTTATTTTAATTTGGCCCATAATCCAAAACATTTGTGTCAAATATTTAGCCTTATTTATGTGCCGTAAAATAAAGAAATAATGAAAAATAGGCAATTGAAATAAAAAGTGGGAGAATACATATGACATCCAAGGCTCCAATATAACATGTTGTGATTACTTTTTGAAGTGATTGTAGTTACCACATTGGTGTTTTTCTTTTACGTTGTAGTGCTATAGTGATCATGCAATTAAATTTTTTTCTTTGAATTTCATTTAAGTAACATTACAAAAATCAACAAAACTGTTCATAGCTAGTGGTACTCTAGAGAGAAGACATAGGTAAGCATAGAGATCTTCCAAAAAAAGTAAGCATAGATAGAGAGAGAGTGATGTCTTGCAGTATAATAATCCCCATGTTCCTGTGTGCAGATTTTCTTTTCTGCCCGTCCCAAAATAATCTTTCATTTCTCTTTTTGGCAAAGAATTTGTGGTTCACAATATTTCCTACACACTCTTACACATTTTTCTTTCCTCTTCATAACTCACCACCACACAACAGCCACTATTCTAATCCTCATGCCAAATGTAGTTCGGAACATGATTTAGGGACGGATGTAGTAAATGATTTTTGAACCCTTGCATCTACCCAGAATGAGGGTATTTACCTAATAACACTACATATAAGAGAGAAAATTCTTCCTCTCAATTCTTAGCCGACTTATCTTATTCTTAAAAGAACTATATATAAGAGAGAAATCTTTTCTGCTTAACTGTAGCAAGCTTATCTTGTAATAGCTAAAAACACTACGTATGAGAGAGAAACGTCTTCCACTCAATTGTTAGCCGACTTATATTATAAAGAATTTTTCCAATCCCAACAATGTTAGGGAGTCTATTTATATATAAGAAAAGAAATAGCTCATTAAAAGACAATTTTATCCCTAATAAAACTTACGTGTCTCTCTTTCCGACTTTCTCTCCTTTGATATGTTACTGCCACATGACTTCCTGATTTTCAAGCGCTCCCTTGTGTGCTCACCAAAACCAAAAAATAAACTCGGCCACTCTTTCCATGTTGACCATCTCCTCACTCAGCAAATTTTCAGCCATACTTCTCTCATTTCCTTAGCTATTTTAACGTATGGGATATTGCCCACCCACCTCTTCACCTAGACTATGAGACCTCCAAATAATACCTTCACTATATGTGCAAGGCTCATAGGATGGGATCGAAGAAGAAAGCCACCTTAATCAGTCAAGCAATTAATTTGAACAGGGATTATGAACAGGCCCTGACCTTGGCCTTAGCCTTTCGATTGAATGTTCTAAGGTAAAACCTTTCACTTCATTGTTCAAGCTTTTCAACATGGGTTTAGTTCATACATTATGAAAACTTTCCTATTCAAGACCTACTTTTGGGGGTTTGAAACCAGATGATATCGACATCAGTGCTTCATACTCTCACTGCTCCAGTAGCAGAGGTACTACTCTCCAATTCTTCATTTCTCTGTCCATCAGTTCTCTAAAACAATTGTACTGCTTAAATAAACTATTGTTTCAATTGACATAATCGAACTCCAGATTTGTTAAAACTTAAAACACTATTATTGCATAATCTGGCTTTAACAGTTTTATGTTTATTTCTGGCTAGGTGTTGTTTTCAACCACATCTACGCAGCTTTGCAAACACAAATTCTTGGGTGCCCAAGTAGCGGAGATACTCTCTAATTCTTCATTTCTCTAGCCTATTTCTGGATCCTCTAAGAATACAGCTTTAGTCTAAATGAAGAATAATAAGAAAGTAGGAAAAAAAAAGAAGTGACTAACTATAAGCTTTTTCATACGTATACTAGATTCAGATTTTCGGGGGCTCTTTAGTCTAAACTTAAAATTAAGAATATAGTAAATGCAAGAGAAGAAAATTACAGATATTCCCTTTATAAATGTTCTCAATTCATATCCGGAAAAAGAAGAAAATGATCATACAAAAAGAAGTGCATTTTCTCTTCTTAGTACCATTTATGTGCTAAAGAATCTTATCCCAAGTAAACAAAAAAAGAGTTGTTTGGTCACTGCCTATTTTGTTTGCACTGATTGTTCCCTTTATTTCCTTACTAAAAAGCTTTTTTCATCTTTAGTCTAGAAATCACGAATAAGAAAGTAGGAAAAGGAAGCAAGGGGCTAACTATAAGAGTGGAGAAGGGGCCTAAATCTTAATTTAGATCTTACTGGGCTTCAATATACATACCAGAATAGATCAACTAACCAAGGGTTTTCAACAATATATATTTGTGTTTTGCATCTAGAGTGGCATAGATATATATGTTTTTCATAAATGCAGCTTTTTTTGTTGTCTTATAGGCAGTCTG